TCAAAGCAAAACTTCGATGACGGCTGTTTATCATGAGGGATAAGAAAGGTCTATAGTATAAACGATGTGATTTACATTTAGTTGAAAACTGATAAACGAATTAATCTAGAATAAAGATTAGATTTTTTGTTTTTATTGTTTGCATAAAAAGCAGGTTCTTGGTTTGAGTTTTACAACAGGACATCCTATCAAGGTTTTAAATAAATACATTTCATTACATCAAATTTTAAATCTTAAATATAATATCAATGCTAATACGACGTCCTATATCTCTTACCATAAAAAATAAAAAAATATTTTGAAAATGAGTAACTGACAAAAAATATTTTAAATTTTAAACTATTTTCCCCGTTGCGATTAAAATATTTGTGTTTAGAGTAATGAAAATGCCTTTGTTAAGGTAAGGACATACTGTGATATTTTGGCAAAAATCCTTTGTAGAGTATAGAGTACAGGGGACGGAGCTAGTGTTTAGTGTAGAGTATAGAGTACAGGGGACGGAGCTAGTGTTTAGTGTAGAGTATAGAGAACAGCAGACGGAGCTAGTGTTTAGTCTAAAGTGTAGTACAGCTAGTGTTTAGTGTAGAATATAGAGTACAGGGGACGGAGCTAGTGTTTAGTGTAAAGTATAGAGTACAGGGGACGGAGCTAGTGTTTAGTGTAGAGTATAGAGTACAGTAGACGGAGCTAGTGTTTAGTGTACAGTATAGAGTACAGTAGACGGAGCTAGTTTTTAGTGTAGAGTATAGAGTACATTAGACGAAGCTAGTGTTTAGTATGGAGTATAGAGTACAGGAGGTGGAGCTAGTGTTTAGTGTAGAGTATAGAGTACAGCTAGTGTTTAGTGTAGAGTATAGAGTACAGGGGACGGAGCTAGTGTTTAGTGTAGAGTATAGAGAACAGGAGACGGAGCTAGTGTTTAGTGTAGAGTAGAGAGAACAGGAGACGGAGCTAGTGTTTAGTGTAGAGTATAGAGTACAGGGGACGGAGCTAGTGTTTAGTGTAGAGTAGAGAGTACAGGGGACGGAGCTAGTGTTTAGTCTAGAGTAGAGAGTACAGGGCACGGAGCTAGTGTTTAGTGTAGAGTATAGAGTACAGCTAGTGTTTAGTGTAGAGTATACAGTACAGGGGACGGAGCTATTGTTTAGTGTAGAGTATACAGGGTGGCCAAAATTTTTTTGAACACATCCGTACAAAAATCCGTACATTTTCAGAAGAAATCCGTACAATTTTCGAAAAACAATCCGTACAATCCTTTTTAAAAAAATCCGTACAATCCGTACATTTTTTTAAACCAATCCGTACATTTTTTTAAAAATTCGTACATTTTTTTAAAAAATCTGTACAATCAGTACAATTTTCGAAAAAATCCCATTTTTGAAAAACAAACATTAAAATTCAATTTTTCATTCATTGTCTTTTGTGTTCAGTTCATGTAAGAGGGTTTAAACTTCTTCAGCAAGAATCAATCTGTAAAAAATTGGCTTCATACATATATACAAACTAAATACTGGGTACATGATACTAAGTGCATGATACTAGATAATGGATACATGATACAGTGTACATGATACAGGATACAGGATACAGGATACAGGATACAGGATACAGGATACTGGATACTGGGTACATGATACAGGATACTGGGTACAGGATACTGGAACATCTTCTTGAATAAGCAATCAAATAAGTACTTATGGAACATATTCTCAAATAAACACTTCTTGGACAAATCTCGAAAATTATGAATGAATTTTGATTGCCAATTGAAACATTAATCAATCTAATATTATTTAGAATGCAGAAAATAAGTTAAACTAACTTCATTTTGACGAGAATTTTTTTATTTTCATTAAAAATTTGCTGAAATGAGTGAAAATTTAAAAAAACGGTGTATTTTCCAGGATAAAAATCCGTACAATCCGTACAATTTGAAAACAAATCCGTACAATCCGTACAATTTTAGGGTTAAAAAAAAAATCCGTACAATCCGTACATTTTGGCCACCCTGAGTATAGAGTACAGGGGACAGAGCTAGTGTTTAGTGTAGAGTATAGAGTACAGGAGACAGAGCTAGTGTTTAGTGTAGAGTATAGAGTACAGGGGACGGAGCTAGTGTTTAGTGTAGAGTATAGAGTACAGGGGACGGAGCTAGTGTTTAGTCTAAAGTGTAGTACAGCTAGTGTTTAGTGTAGAGTATAGAGTACAGGGGACGGAGTTAGGGTTTAGGACTAGAATGAAGTAAAGAAAACACAGGAAAAAAAAGAAACCCCAATGCATATTGTATTATACTGACTAGCTCAGTAGTTGTTTGAATAACTCCCGCAAAGCGTGTTTTCTTGAATAAATAATGATAACGAGTTTGTTAATTTGCAGAGTTAAGAATAATTAATATATTGAACGTCGTTGCGCAAATCTTTTTATTTTACCCTGGTTTCTCCTAATTCTTCGTATAATTATTCATCCCCAACAGGGGCATACCCAGGGGGGGGGGGTAATGAATTTCTCCACTGTAATGATTTACATTAGTATCTTAACAACCCCTCTTTCTTCCTATCTACTATCTAAAGTTCTCTGCGTTGCCCGTGGAATTTTAAAAACATAGAAAAAAAATTCAATGATTTAAACAAAAAGTAAAATTTAGAATTAATTTAGGTTTTATCAAATTTAATTGCCAATTTTGTTCAACTGTTTGGCCAGTTATAGCTAACATATATGTATTTGTATATATGCATATATATATATATATATATATATATATATATATATATATATATATATATAGATAAATAAGAGCGAAGAGCTTTATTAAATAGATAACTAATTCTTCGTCAATCTTCAGATTATTTAGGTTTTTCTTTCATTTTTAAAACTTCCCACATCTAATAGTCCCCCATTCTCCTCGTATTCTACCACCTTCCATAAAAACATATTACAGGCCCCCAGGTCCATTCCTTGAGGCTAGTCTAGGAACCATTAAACTGGAGTATCCAGGGACCTAACGATACAAAAACTAGCAATCATATCTCGTGAAGAAAAATAAAGAATTATTGATCAGTTTTCTAGATAGTTGCAAATTTTTTGGATTGAAAAGAGGGTTTTTCTTTTAAGGTTTGGTTTACTGAGATGCGGTATTAGTTTGAACGCATTTAGTTCATTGATTTTTATGCAAAACAGAACTAGTTTTTTTAAAGTTAAGTTACGATACCAAAATTAACGCTAGTTTATCAATATCATAATAGAACTGACTTCAGAAGTTTAAACTTATTTATTTTGCTGTGTACGATGCATTTTGATTTTATAGCAACAAAATATGAGAATTATATGGCTCTTTTTTGAAGAGGAGGAGGGGGACAAAAGATTTTCATTATTTTCTAAGGGGCGGGGCGGTCATTAATTGTGATTTGTTACAGTTTCCTTCCCAGGGATGTTTGGTTTACCAAAATTACTACTACTACTGGGGATTTATGGGAAATTTAAAAACTCTTGGCTTTTCTTGATCAATTTTCACTTGTTGGTAACACAGGAACTAAGATTTTATAATTTTATCAACAAAAACAAGGCAGAGTTTTTACTACAAAATCATAATTAATAAAAGATGCTTTGTGGATTTTAAAAAGAGGCGTAAAAGGTCATGAGTAAATATCAAATAATGCTGTTTTTAAACACATTTTTTAGTTAAGTCGTTCACTTATCAATGTATGTATATTTAACTAGCGCTGGGCATTGGGAAACGTTCCGTTAACAAACGTACACGAAAAAAAGAACGAAAAATAAAAAAGCACGAATGCTGCTTTTAAAATAAAGGACAATTTCTTTATTTTTACGGGTTTAATGTGTAATTATGTTATTAAGTGACGACTTTTGTAATTTCTGAAAATTACACCACAAAACCATTCATCATTATGAACTCTTAATAACGAATTTACCAACCGTTAACGATCATCGAAGGCAGCTAACGTACCGCTAACGAACGGATAGGAAAAGTTTACACGTGCCCAGCCGAAAATTCAACCAGCTCAATCCAGAAACAATTAATAATTGTAAAGCTTCAAAGATTAATAATGAGTGGTTCAAACCTGAATCCTAATCATCTCAGTGTCACCTGGACACTTTAATCATTTGGTAATCATACTCATTAATCAATCATTTCTGGGGGGAGGGGNCCCCCGGCGCAAGAAAGTCTACGTTCTTTGGGGTCCGCATGTGTGAACTTAAACATTAAGTTATCTACAAAATGAGCATTAATTGCGTAAGTTTTGTGTGCTGGGATATTAATCCCCTGTATTACCAACATTAAATCTGGAATTATTATCAATAGATACAATAACTAGAAACACATTAATTTTTAATTATTATCATTGCAGTTTTAAAATTAGAATAGAGATTTTTTTTATTAACTCCTCTAAATATTTAAATTACACCAATTTATCATTAAATATTTACGAGTTTTGACATTTTACTATCATTTTTAGTAGATTTTAAAAAAATTAAATGGTTTCGCAGTTTTTTTTTCTGTTGGTAGTTATATTAAAATCTTCAAACCCCAATTTTATATTCAGATATATTCAGACCGGCCACCTGCACATTTTTTTTATTAAAATATATTCTATTCGATCGCCTAGGGGCTAGGGCCAATGTTATTTTTACTTTTACCTTGGTAATTAGTACTGAAATCATCGGGATTTCCTCCCCCCCCCCCCCTACTTTTTATAAATAAAATTCTTTTTTTTTTCAAAAGATGTAACAAATGCACGTTTCCGTCAATCAGAAATCCGCAAAACGTAGCAACTTACCGTAAAATCTTGATTTTTTTCAACCTTCTCCCTTGCTCTTCCGACCCATTTTTATATAGTTACAACTGAAATTCAATAAAAAACATTCAAATAATAATTTAGATTTAATTAACAAATATACATTTAACTAAAACTATTAAATATTTTAGTTATACAGCAACAATAATACACTTAAAAAAATGCAACAGTGACAAAATTTATAAGAAAATTCATAAGGAAAAATTTATTAAAATTACAAGCATAAACTGACATTTAACTTTCTAATACATCATTCCCTTACATTTTTAAAACACAAAATACTGAAATGAAAAATATTTTGATAACTTTCCCTGCTTTAGTTCATGTTGAGAGGTTCAAATATTATTATTCATCATCACAAGCCGCTGCCTCATTGTTTAAACCTCATTTTAAAATTATGATAATTTCGATTGTTCACGAAGTTTCTTGTTTTAATTTCTTCTTTGTGTGATAAATAAAGATGAGTGAAAATAAACTGTACAGTGTACAATGTACATATTAACACACCGTTTTGTACATTTATGTGCCGAGTACATTATTCATGTACTGTCCAGGGTACAGTTTAAATGTTATGCACCGAACACATTATTCATGCACTGCCCGGTATACAGCTTACATGTTATGTACCAAATACACTACTCATGTACTGCTTACAGTTTACATGATATCTTGAAGCAGAATACTAGTTGCATCATCAAGATTATTCCGGGATTGTATCAAAGCCTGAAATTAAATGAAAACATATTATTAGCATTCATCTTTAAAATAAACCTAATTCATCTTTAAAATAAACCAAATTCAACTTTAAAATAAACCAAATTCATCTTTAAAATAAACCTAGTTCATCTTTAAAATAAGCCAAATTCATCTTTAAAATAAACTTAATTCATCTTTAAAATAAACCAAATTCAACTTTTAAATAAACCAAATTCATCTTTGAAATAAACCTAATTCATCTTTAAAATAAACCAAATTCATCTTTAAAATAAACCAAATTCATCTTTAAAATAAACCAAATTCATCTTTAAAATAAACCAAATTCATCTTTAAAATGAACCAAATTCATCTTTAAAATAAACCAAATACGTCTTTAAAATAAACCAAATTCATCTTTAAAATAAACCTAATTCATCTTTAAAATAAACCAAATTCATCTTTAAAATAAACCAAATTCAACTTTAAAATAAACCAAATTCATCTTTAAAATAAACCAAACTCATCTTTAAAATAAACCTAATTCATCTTTAAAGTAAACCAAATTTATCTTTAAAATAAACCTAATTTATCTTTAAAGTAAACCAAATTCATCTTTAAAATAAACCAAATTCATCTTTCAAATAAACTTAATTCATCTTTAAAGTAAACCAAATTCATCTTTAAAATAAACCAAATTCGTCTTTAAAATAAACCAAATTCATCTTTAAAATAACAAATTCATCTTTAAAATAAACCAAATTCATCTTTCAAATAAACTTAATTCATCTTTAAAGTAAACCAAATTCATCTTTAAAATAAACCAAATTCGTCTTTAAAATAAACCAAATTCATCTTTAAAATAAACATAATTCATCTTTACAATAAACCAAATTCATCTTTAAAATAAGCCTAATTCATTTTTAAAATAAGCCAAATTCATCTTTAAACAAAATTTGTCTTTAAAATAAACCAAATTCATCTTTAAAGTAAACCAAATTCATCTTTAAAATAAACCTAATTCATCTTTAAAGTAAACCAAATTCATCTTTAAAATAAACCAAATTCGTCTTTAAAATAAACCAAATTCATCTTTAAAATAAACCTAATTCATCTTAAAAATAAACCAAATTCATCTTTTAAAATAAACCAAATTCATCTTTTAAGTAAACCAAATTCATCTTTTAAGTAAACCAAATTAGTCTTTAAATAACCCAAATTCGTCTTTAAAATAAACCAATTTCATCTTTAAAATAAACCAAATTCATCTTTAAAATAATAAAACTCGTCTTTAAAATAAACCTAATTCATCTTTAAAATAAACCTAATTCATCTTTAAAATAAACCTAATTCATCTTTAAAATAAACATAATTCGTCATTAAAATAACCAAGACATAGACAAATTTAACAAAAATTAAGCAAATGTAATTTTAAAACTAATGTTTTTTTAACAAACAGAATCTATCTTAACCTACGTTGAGAATTATGTCATTGTAATGGGTATTATAAAGTGCGAAAAAGTTTTTTCCTAGTTTGAGATCAAAATAAAAGTTTTTTGTTTCCACACCGAAAGCGGTATCTTTTGATATGAAAACCTTTTTTTTCGGTAAATAATTTTACATGCTCTTATATAAAATCTATATTGATAAAATTTGTATTAAATTATCACCTGTTCGGCCCTTTCCCTGGAGAACCCCATATCCATCAGGGTTTGCAGCATTGCAGGGGATGGTATGACGGGGGCGTGTCTAGGCCCTGCCCCTCCCCCTCCTGCACCCCACATCTCATCCAATCTCAACTGCCTACCCCCACCTCCTACTGGCTGAAAAGAGGAGATAATAAATGAAAAACCTAGTTTTTATCTCTTCTCATTTTAAAGATAATATTGCGTTGATGCATGATTGGATAAGGCAAGGTCACAGTGGGAAACATGAAACAGTGGAATAGAAAGAAAACTTAAAAACGTACACAGCATTTGTGCAAGTTCTAAGACCCATCACATCAAATATTTGCATGAGATAGTTTAATTGTCGTCTTACTATTCCTCCGTTTTATGGGTCAGTATCCAATAGACTAACCTTTGATTTAAAGGTCTACTAGAAATCTTTTAACCCCAACCAAACACCAAAATACACAACAAAAAAGTTAAAATCTAGGGAACTTTTAAATCCTGCAATGCCTTTTGACTTTTAAACTACGGTGTCTAAACCAAAATACGAGTGAAAATAATTGTACAAAAATGTGTTCACTCTGAAGTGTCTGTAATGTATGCCTAATTTCAAGTGACCCTCCAAGAAAGATGACATAGCTAGATTTCACAACGGAACCCTTAAAATTAAAAGCTTTGTCTGAATTTGTATGAATTAGATATCAAAGTTTATAATTATGAAAACTGATCATTTTGTGGTTTCTTTTCAGATCAACTTGCGCATTTCTATTGCAGGCAAAAATATAGGAATGATCATAATTTAACACTTTTAAACCTAGTTCAGTATTCCCAACTTACCACATTGTATCGGTTCCTGGCCCGTATTAGCTGTTGTTCAATAGCTTCAGCTTTTAAACCTAGTCCAGTATTCCCATCTTACCACATTGTATCGGTTCCTGGCCCGTATTAGCTGTTGTTCAATAGCTTCAGCTTTTAAACCTAGTTCAGTATTCCTTACTTACCACATTGTATCGGTTCCTGGCCCGTATTAGCTGTTGTTCAATAGCTTCAGCTTGCTGACTCCGCTGTATCTCAATAGTAGCTCCCATCAAACCTAATTAGTTTTATTCTGTTCAGACCGAGCTCAGTATAATCTCTTCCCCGCTGACTGTTTATTCTAAATCCCAACCATAAGTTTCAATCTCTGATTCAATATTATCACAGTAGTTTAAGATTTGATTATTATTATTATTAAACAGAACTTCTGGGGGATTTTTATTCCCCGTATTAAGCCACACCCATCAGTACTTCCCCTCACGATTCTTGTACAATCACGCCTGGGGTCGTCTGTTTGTACTTGTAAACTTCAATGAGTAGCTATCAATGTCGCCTATTAGTGCATAATTTTGCAAATTTTTTCTTTAAACTATATATTCGCAATATCTTAACAAATTTAAACTACACCATTCATATTTGTATGTATATCTTTGTTTGTGAATAAATCTTTATAATAATAATAAGTTGAAGATTCATCAATCCGGTTTACAAACAAATATTACAAAAGGGAGTGTTTCAGAATTTAAGAATAGTATTTTGCCGAACCCATTCTTAAGTTGAAAGGTTTTATTTCTATTAATTGAGTCTTTGATACAAACTCAAATGTTCTACTCCCTATATCTTTGAAGCCGGATGGTGTAAACCTTTGATATTTCAAACTTATGATTATTTGATCTAACAAAATTCATACAAAGGTCTTCGACATTGGGTTGCAAAGATATAGGAAATTAAACGGAAGGGAGCTTAAGTCTGAAATCTTAGATTGAATGATTGACAGTGATATTTAATATTATTATAGGGCCGGATTTACAATTCTGGGGTTGTAGTAAAGACTTAATAACCAGCAAGAATATACAGTAAAACCTTGATACGTAGACAAATATCTTATAATATAAAGTCTGTTGAGGAATGAAGATGGATCATTTACCTGTATCCTTCTGTGGTTCGGAGCAAAGAATTCGTCCGAGGGTTGCGGAGAAACATGAACCCACCCAACCAGGCAAACTCAACCTAAAATTAAAGATTTTTCTCTTGTCTCTGTCTATCTTGGTTTCCATTTAACACCTTATCAGTACCTAATCTGTTTTATGTCATAAACCCTGAATACATCCCATTGCAAACAAAATAATAAAATTCCAACTATGTAGTAGAGAGGTGTAAGCTGTAAAAAGCGAATGAACTGGATAGGTCCGGATTTTTACCCACCCGGGGGCAATCCCTCGCTAGAACCCACAGTTAGTATCTGTACCCATAATTGCTGGATATTCAGAGAAGTGGTGGCA